GAATTTCTTCTCAGTCCTTGCTGCGGTAAGAGTGCTGTGGTTGGCATATTTTTGGACCGTAGTATTGGATTTGCCAGCGGCTACTGTAAAGTACAGGCGTTGTTTTTGTAAGGTTTTTGCGACATTTTAAGAACCCAACCACTTCAGTATGACTACTATTATGTAAAGTTGTTAAGACTACTAGTTTGGATTTTCATGTTATAGTCCTAGGAGGGTAATTTTCTTATTAGTAATCTCAAACTAGTACTCTTAACAAATTACACGATAATTGACTCACTTCTACTGTCACCCTAGAAAATGGCCAAGTGAAACCACTTCCTAAAGCGTAGTATAGCGGGTTTGGGTTTTAATGTCAACCCGGGTCCTAGATTTGATGACTAATCGGTGAATTCTTGTTATCTAGCAATGAAACTTTAGTGCAGGTCCAAATTAACTAACAAACAAAGCAAGTAAATGGTTGTTTTCAGGTTAAGAGAGGTCACCTGGATATGGTTCCCCCTAGACTGCAGTTAAGCTGGATTGCAATTTACCAAGTTCAGTTTCCATGAATATTATACTGCGGAAGGTTCTTAAACAGCCTGAAGTCTCGACTAAAGGTCTTCAGACCATCTCAATCTGAGTCTCCAGCGGGCGACTAACCTCCATCGGAGTAAACAGATTGAGGCCCTACGAACAAAACCTCCACTACCGAAGTGAATTCGGTACAGAATAGTGAGTTGGCTCCTCGACCAAAGTCACCAACTCCCTACCTTCAATCAAGGATGCTCTATCAACCTAGGCAGAATTCTCATTCTAGGTTAAAGCAGAAACAACAGGAATTTGATCAGGATTCAAGTCATTCAAGCCTCAATCGAATATAATCAACTCATGAAATCTGTACTTGGGTTCATACAATCAGACCTAACATACAAATCTAGGGTTCTCCATACCCAGATGAATGGGAGAACTACTCCATAGAGAAAGAAGCAAAAACAGATTCAGACGCGGAAATCATACTGTGAAGGATGATTTTCAGCTCCTGGTTGTCAATCGGCACTTCTCCAAGCTCAAGCCGGGCTCCAATGGTGATGAAGATCAAGCTATGGCACTTGGGAACTCTTGTTCGTCGCTTTCTCACTCTAGGAATCGATCTCTCTCTCTAAAACTCGAGTCCCCTTGACCTTTGGCCTTCTTTTCCTTTATAACAGCTGCCTGTCGCGATACCCGGTCGGGTATTTTGGGTCTCGACCGGGTATTATTAAAATGCGCGTTTTGCTTCAAGGAAAAATCCCCGGTCATGTCCAATAATCCCCGACCGGGGATTTTAAGCTTCACGACCGGGACCCTCTCTGTTTCTCAGACGCCCAAAACGGCAAATACCCGGTCTCCTCAAAATAATACCTGGCCGGGTATTTTCTTCCTCCAGCACACTTCAAGCCTCACTTGCTCCTTTCGACCCGAATCTCGTTCCTTCGCCTCGATTCCAACGCCGGGTCCTGAAACATGACATACACGCACAACCTAGCGTGAAATCGGCTTAAAATACAAGAATCAACATCTCAAACGGCTCAAGAATAGGGGTGAAAACATGTGTAATTATCGGTCTATCAATAATACGCATACACTATTATGTAATTTGTTAATTATATTGTACTCTATATAAACTCGATCAGGTTAATTTCACTTGATACCACATAAGTATTGTTTTCGTTGCACACTAACCACTTGAGTATTTTTAGTTGCAACTAAAACACACAAGTATAGTTTCGGTTGCAAAGTTACATTTTACGTTTTAAAACGTAATGATAGGTATCAAATTGCAATTTTCTGTGCCACACATGCACTCCAACTCAGCGAGGTTGCCGAATCAGACGGACCACTAGATTCACTTGGCCCACATGCATGTGAAATTATTTCTTTTACGAGCAAAGAAAGAGGGGTCTCGGTGAATAATTAGGCTGGTGCCGGCATATTTTTGCGATATGCTGATCAACAACTAGGGCTGCAAATGAGCCAAGCCGCTCGCGAGCAACTCGACGTTCGAATCGTAAAAAACTCGTTCGACACTCGACTCGTTATTTAACAAGCCGGCTCGCGAGCCAACTCGTTAGTTAACGAGCCAAGCCTGAGCTAGACCATGCTCAGCTTGATAAGCTCGCGAGCTAGCTTGATTCGGTGGCTTGTCGAGCTAAGCTCGCGAACTGCCTTGTTTTGAGCTTGTGGAAGGATGAATTACTCTTTTAAACATGAACATTGTCTTATAATACAGATGTGTATGAAATTTAGATGTTATTTCTAGTTTCTAGTGTTCTTTCTATCATTTAAATTCTTATGTTTATATATTTTTCCAGCAAAAATGATTTTAAATCGAGCTCATCTTGAGCCGAGCTTGTACTCAGCTTAACAAGCTATGTTAATGAGCATTTATCGAGCTCTACCGAGTCGAGCTCGAGCTAGATTATTTTTATTCAAGCCGAGCTCGAGCTCGAGCTGGATTATCAAAATTCGAGTTCGAGCCGAGCTCGAGCTGAAAAATTAATAAACGAGCCGAGCTCAAGCTAAGCAAAAACTCGACTCGACTCGGCTCGTTTGCAGCCCTATCAACAACTATGAGGAGATATGGATTAAGATAGACATACGATCCTTTCTCATCATCTCTCTCCCTCTTGCGTCAATCCCAACCCTCGTGACTGATGTTGCGATTCGCCTATGTCGTCTCCAGCCTCGTCGCTGCTGCTGCTGCAAAATCCCCTCAAATCCGCCCACTAATTCCCCTGAATGGTCAGCGCCTCACCATTGCAAAAGCAGTTGTTGAGTGTGATTGAATTTCGATTGATGACAGTGAAGGAGAAGGTAGCGTTGTTAGTGGAAACTACCACTTCTAATTTGGATAACGACTGGCGTTATTAGTGGAAGTGGAAACTACCACTTTCGATGTTATAGGTCAAAAGAATCCTTGCCATGGACTTTTTTTTATAGTGCAGTGATCCACTTTTCATTTATTCTTACTTTCAATATAAAAACATGAGATCCCATCATCGTTCAAAAATTATTTATATTACCCTTATAAGGGACCACACTCGGTGACGGAGCTAGGTTTGAAGAGGGTGGGTCCCCAGTCCCACCTTGGCTGGGAATTAAGTTGTCGTTTGAAAGTTGAGATTGTTAAATATATGTATTATTGTATTATAGATATGTATTGACAAATTTGATACATTGTAAAATTCAATGTTTAGTATGTGTAATCATGTATGATACATAGCTAAAAGTTCAAGTAAAACAATTCATGTGTTGTGTATGCAAAAAAAAAAAAAAGAATCAGAAAAATTATACATTCTAAACAATACAAGTATAGTAACAATCTCTTGAAAACAATCACAACTTCAAAACGACCCCTAAGACACACAAAATAAGAGTATTTGTACGGAACACATAATACTCAAACGAAAATCAGTCGACAAACTATAAAACACATCATTGGTCATTTAAATATTAATAATATTTATCTTTTATATTTCTATTTTCACATCGGACTCACTTTGAATGAAATCCTAACTACGCCACTAACCACATTAAAACTATCTTTAATTACTAGATTGATGACAATTATGAGATACGAAAAGGGACTTACTATTCTGCCTAAACCAATACTAATGCGTTAACACGCTCATGGTATAGCCACGGGTAGAGGTGGCAATTTCAATCCAATCCACCAATCCAATCCATCAATCCATTAAAAATATCCACCTAATCCAATCCATTTAAATTCAATCAATTTTATCCAAATCCAAATGGATTGGTGGATTCATGGATTGGATCCATGGATCATTGGCAAATTACGGTTTAGTACCTATAATTTTTATTTTTTACATTTTGGTACCTAAAATTTAATTTTTTATATGAAAAATATCATTGGAAAATTACATTTTGGTACCTAAAATTTTTCATTATGACATTTTAGTACCTAAACTTTTTACATTTTACATATTGGTCCTTGGTTGATGATGTCATTTGGGTTCATGGATAACCCACCAATCCATGAATCCACCAATCCATTAGATCCAATCCATTTGATCCATGGATCATCCACTAATCCAATCCACCAATCCACCAATCCAATCCATTTGCCACCTCTAGCCACGGGTTTGTTGTAGTAGTATACATATGAAATGTTCTTAAATTATAGGAATTTTACGATGCTTTATAGTATTGGTGTTTTGGTTCTTAAAAAAAATATTGTGCAAATTGAATTAGTATTTTTAACGTTGTGGTATAAATTAAGTTTGTATCTATATTTTTTTCGTACAGATTCCTCTAATTTCATACAAACTGAATATGTATCTGTGTTATTGTACAAAATAAATTTGTATAATAATTTAAAGGCACAAATTCATTTATCGTACAACCTAAAACTTGTACCTTTACTGTTATAGTCAATATAGTCGGGCTTTAAACCTTAAAAGTTCACGCTTTTTCGCCTTTAAATTTCCAAATCACCAAAATACTTAAGTTTTCATGTAAGAACTTGAGTGTCTAAAATCAAGCCAAATCAGCCGTAGATGCGGTGCAAGGGCACGAAAGCACGTAAAATCGAGTTTTCATGCGCTTTTGTGTAACATGAAAAAATAGGTTTGTGCTATGAGTTATGACTAGTGACCTTAAAATATACGATTTTAGAGTAGCCCATTTATTGCTAAAAGAAGCTCTCTTTGTTTCATGTAAGTTGGGATGAGTATGATTTTTGTGGTTGGCTCTCTGCCAAGACCAACGTGATGTATTTCTTGTTCATGCAAGTGATTGTTTCGATTAAAAAAGAAATTTCATCCCTCAAAATAATAAATCTTATTATAGTGAGCCACAAATGAATGATAAAGTAGGTGCAACTGCCATGCAGCCTTTATTTGGCCGCTTATCTATAAATCTATAGTCCTGCAAATATGATGGGGGCGTCCTAAGCTAAACCCAAACTCAACAAAAACGAGAAACCAAATTAAACAAACATCCATTCAGCACTACTGATCATGGCGACGACGACGGAGACAGTAGCCGGATTGCCGCGTTTTGTGAAGCTCCGATCAAAGAGCGACGACAAGTACCTGCGCTACCTGTGGAGCCAAGAGTTCGCCGAGTTCTACAAGTTCATGGGGACGAGAGGAGGGGTGGTTGATGAGGTCAGCCCCTTCATCAAGCTGGAGGTCGTCCCTTCAACCAGAGACCCGGCCTCCTTGGTCCACCTTCGCTCCGGCGAGAACAACTTATTCTTGCGTCCTGTCCATCACAGGCGTTTGGTCATGGACTTAGTCGCCGGCGTCGCCGAGTCCCCCAACGAGGACACCTCCAACGCACTCACCTGCACCCTCTTCCAGCCGGTCTTCCCTCCGGACCAGCCCGACACCGTGTGGTTCCGTTACGTGCCCGACCAGCGCCGCGTCTTCTCGTTCGGCGCCGGCTCGGAAGTCGCCGACGTGGCGGTCGTGTTCTCCCAGGACGCGCGGTACACCACGTTCTACGAGTTCTCGCCGTGGGTGTCCTACGGGGACAAGATGAAGGCAAAGGAGGAGGAGATTCTGTCCCGCGACCTGGAGATCCAGTCGCTGCGCGCCCTGCTTGGTGCCAGGGAGGACGAGGTCCGGAGCGTGCAGCGACAGCTGGCCGACAGGGACGACGAGATCGGCGGCCTCGAGGGCGAGGTGGCGGCGTCGGAGGCGTACGTGGAGAAGTGGGATGCCAGGCTGGAGGACGCGATGCTGACGCTGCAGTCCACCGTGGCGTCGGCTTGGGAAGCGTTCCAGGTCAACGTCAGCTCTGGGATCGTGAAGCTTGCAGGTGGGTTCAACAGGTTCGATCGGGTGTTGAAACTGCAAGAAGCTAAATGACCGGACCAAACCAGACCAGACCAAACCGAAATGGTCTGTCTGTAAAGGGATGGATGGGATAATAAAGGATGGCACTCTCCGCCAACTCATCGTTTACTTTGCTATTTAATTGATTTGGTTCATGTATTCAATAAGCAAGGAATTTCTTGTATTCGTTTTTCTAGTTTTATGGATCATATCCGGTCAGGGGTCTGTACGTACGTATTGTCTGTCATATTTGGCAGTTAAATTACCGTTTGCATAAATGAACAGCCTACTTGCTTCAGTAATCGACGAGCAAAATATATATTCTTTTTTCGGTAAGTAAATATATATAATTTAGTTTATCTACATCATGGCAGCATAAAAGTAAAATAAATAAATAAACATTAAAATTTTGGCGACGAGAAAAACATAATAAATTTAATTTCATATAGCATAAATTATGTAAATTTTTCTGGAATTTTTTATATATTTTAAACAAATGAGATTTATTTCGTTGAATTTTAATAGGAAGAGGCTTTATAAAAAATTACATAACTCTACGTACGGTATGCTTCGTTCGTGTCTTCTCTTGGTTTCCAAGCCAACATTTGAATCATCCAAACTCCATGTCTGACAGAGTATGATCAATCGTGTTGGTTTTCGTGCGCGTTTGGGGATTTGACCCTACTACAGCATCACCCTAACACTCTCTGGGAAGAGGTGCAAATTGAGGGGAGCAAAAATGGAGGGGTAAGTGCAGAACCCTAGGCAAATGCACCTATTTGGTTAGCCATGAACTGAAATAAGGGGGAGCATTTGAGGAGCAAAACTACTATTTGGGGTGACCTCCCAAATTGGGGTGCAAACGAATGGAGAGGAGAGGGGGAGAGATGAAGACTTTTTTTATTATTTTGCTATTGTATTTAGTGAGTGGTGGGGTCTAGTTTTAGAGATTGTTTTATTGAGTGGTGGGTCCAGGAGGGTGGAAAGTGGGGAAGATTATGTTTTTTTATTAATTTTTTTTGTATCATTTTATAAATACAAATATAATAATATTAATAATCTATATTTACACCTACTTTATACACCCTACTTTTTCTCCCAAACAACAATTTGCACCTCTATTTACACCTCTATTAAATTTGCTCCCCCTATCATATACTACTCAATTTGCACCCTCTTCGAATTTGCACCCTCCTCGTTGCCAAACAGAGTGTAAGTGGTGACTGTGGAGGATTGGAGGTTGTTTTACGTCATAAAAAAGTTGTTACTGAAATTTGCATTAATCGTTTGTGAGTAATATTTGTAGCGATGATATCACCTTCCTTTTGCACGATCTAGATGAAAATGGGATTCCAATAGTGTAAGAGCTTTTGATCAACAACATAGTGTATAAGGTAACTACTTCTTTGAGCTATCTACGATATATAATTTTATGACAAAAATCTTGAGGTACCGAGTTGAACGAAAAAACAAGAATATAAGAAAACCTAAAATATTTTTAGCAACCAAAAAACATGTCAAAGTGAATCACATTTTGTATGAGTATAGTATTCTCCTTCTCAGTTTCTTGTTTTGGCAAGTTTAGATTGATGTTATTAAGAACAGTTTAATTCTGTATCTTTAATTTGTCTTTTCAATGATAAAGCTTTGAGCATCCTGATAGCTATTTCTGGGGCTAATGTTGTAGCTCCAAGTGTACAAAGTTTCTACAGATTATAAGGTTCTCTTAAACTTCATAAAAAAAGGAAACGATTTATTTGGCTGTTATATATAATTATCGCGAAGAAATTTTAAAGTTCTGAAACTTTCAAAATGATAATTGGTTGGTATATGTCAATTTTCCAACCAATTTGACTTATTGTCAATGACACTTAAATGAGGGGTTTTTTTTTGCTTTATATACAATAAAAATGGTCACGAAAGTTGCAAAAATTGGTTAGAATAAATATTTATGATGGTCAACCACCTAGATTTCTCAACCAACAATCATCACACATGACAACCCTATGAACACAACCACAAAAAAGGCCAATCCTTGACAAATAATAATTGTAGTTTTACCCTATGAAAATAATGTGCACATGGATATAACCAATTTAATTTGATGCTATAAATATGCACATGGATCTAGTGTAAATTATATTAAATGTTATCCAAATCTCCATTGATGGACAATTGAGCTGTTTTCCTGTTTCTAACTCTTGTACTACGCAGTGAAATCGATGATTTAGATATGGACAATGACGACTTCTAGCCGACGAGAGGCCAATTTGTTTTTCTTACGATCATATATATCAGTAGTTAATCATTTAAACACAAAGATCTGTAGTAGTATATAATGAAAAACTTGATTGTCTAGCACATTTTCTAAGTGATTGGAACAAATCAATACTTGATATATCTATATATATATATATAGTATCATACCCTTTTGTCAATCAAAATTTTATGGGTTCAAAATTCTGACAATCTCAATTATTAACTATAAGTTGATGTACAATATAATTAATGCATAATAAATGTGTACAATCTATAAAAATTAATGGGCTTCCAACTGAGGGGCAGATAGATTACTCATATATGATCAATCTGCCTCTTGCATAGTAGTGATGAAGCTTCTCTTAACAATATGATGGTTCTATCTAAAATTCGAGACTATGGATTTGCTTTTGTACAAAAGAGCATGCTAAAGAAGAGTATAAGATCTATATTTGAGCCTATTGATTGCTCTTGTATCTGTAAGCGAGATATGTTTATCTAGACCATAAATTAAAATGAGGATATGATACTATACCCTAATTTTTTAGTAAATATCAGGCTTCTGTTATCAAAACACAAAACCGAAACTCAATTTAATAGAAAATAATAATTGACTATTCAGATTGATCAAAGCTTATCGAATTACATCTAACGGCCAGATCACCTGGAGTATACTACGCTCCTGGGGTATATAAATGTTTACGTGGAACAGGTGCGAATGGTGTATTATCTCCATTGGTGATGTTGTGGATATGGATAACTATATACTGAGAGGACCATTGCATCGGAGGTAGGCCTGTCCAACCGGTTTCGGGTTTTTGGGTTAAACCGAACCCGAACCGAAAACACTGAAGTCGGGTTTCGGTTTCAAACCGAAGCAACAGTTAGCGGTTCCGGTTTTTCTGTAACCCGAAAACCAATTAAAACCCGAAAGCTCTTAGGGTTCGGGTATCTCCTTGCGAATTGCGACAGAGGAGAATCGCTCTGCTGGACTGCTGGACTGTTGGACTGCTCAAGGCTTCGCCGAAACAGAGCCTCCCTTCTCAGTTCAACTTCTCGCCGCCGTCAACGTCCTCGCTGCCAACGGCCTCGAGGGGATCTCTGACATCGCCTTCGCCGTCCTCTCCCTCTCTTACATTTTCGTCATCTCCCGATTCGCCTTCCCTCTGCCTCCCAGCAATGCAGCAATCCATCTGGGTTCGAGGCTTCAATTAGGTTTCTGTAGCCGCCATCTTGCTGCCGGAGAGCAGTACAGATCTTGTGTCAACGACCAGTAGCAAAACAGAGATGGAATCCCAGTAAGCCCCTTTTACCTTTCTTGAATTTTGATTTTGATTGGCATCCACTTGCTGTAGGGGTTCTGATTTCTTCTCTACTTGGCTCGTCTAAGTAGGGCAGGTGAGTGTTTGTTGTTGCCCCTCGTTTCTGTTCTATGATTAATTTAGTTTCGAATTTAGCATCTGGGTTTTCGCTGTGTTTGTGCTTAGTTGTGAACTTGAATGGAAGTTTTTGACTCTGAACAGTTGGTAGGGCTAAAGGGTTGGACTGAATAACATTGTTTTCAACATCTGGGTATTGCTATTTCATCTGTGTTTTTGGTATCTGCTCAAGGAATCAAGTAGATTGCTCGCAGATGTGCAGACCACACTGCTCCAAAAATCCAAGCTACAAGTATATTGTTCAACCACAGAAAGCAATCTCTTTGAAGCATTTTGGATTCACCAAAGGGCCGGGGACAGTTGAAGGAAGATACAGGGGGCAGGAGAATTATAGGCCATGTTTTTTTGTTTTTGATTTTTTGTAAAGCTGATCCATGAAGGAAGTATTGTTGATGCTTTCTTCAACTTGTGCCATTTCAAGGACTGCTACTAGTTCTATTACTACCCGGGATCGAAGAAAGAGATCCTGAGTTTTGTTCTGTTTAATTGTGGCTGCATAGTCTGGGATGGTCTGTAGGGAAATAGAACCATTCATTTAGCAGTAGCCTAGAAGATTACCAGCAGGTGGTTTTAATTTTACACCTTTTCTGTTCTGTGTTAATGATCTTTTGGAAATTTGATGAGCCCACAAGTCATTTAGTTAGGTGGTTAGTGTTTACTGTTTTAGCATTTTAGCAATTGTTCTTTGAAAGAGTCAACAAGGTTGTTAGAGTATGTTGAGTTAGTAGAATAGGTGGAGCAGGAATAGGCGCATATAGTTAGTTGTTAGTAGAACGTGGGAGTGGTTCCACAAGAATAGGGTTTAGTTGTTTTTTCCTTTGCAAATGTGATGTATTTAAGTTCAGAGTTTATGGAATAACAGGAGGATAATTTTAGCAAAGAAAACCCTGGTAACCTCTCGCCAAGAAAAGAGAGAACTGGTTCAATCCCGCCAAGAAAAGAGATTCATTCACCCATACGATTTCAACCCGTATCATTTGGTATCAGAGCCGTTGATCCGTATCATTCACTGATACGTGTTGAAATCGTATGAGTGAATGAATCCCTTTTCTTGGCGGGATTGAGCCAGTTCTCTCTTTTCTTGGAGAGAAATTACCAGAGGTTTTACTTACTAAAATTCTGCTTCCTATTATTTCATTACCCTTTAACTTAAATACATCAACGTTTGAAAAGAAACTATGCAGTCCTAACTTGGTGGAACTACTCCCCACGTTCAACAACCACATTGCTGAACTTGCTCCACTTATTACGCCAAACTCAAAAGATCCTAACAAGTATGTCAACCCATTCAACTAACAGAAACAAACGGACTCCTACAACGACAAGCTTCTCTCGGCATGGGCTGGGCTATTTCTCATCCTTATGGCAGCAGTGTTGGGCTACGACACTCGAACTGAGCGATTATGGGCTCATCATTACCATCCACTGAAAACGTCCTCAAGGCCGAGTTTGGAAATAGTGATCGTTGAAGACCGATGTCAGGTTCCATGTATTCTCTTTCGCGTATACGGAACTTCCAACTCCGTTGAGGCACTCGAACAAAGCCAACATCGACAATTTCTATGTACAAGAGCTTCATCTCTACGGTGAAGGAATGGGTTACTCCTACAAGATCAGCTTCTTCGACCGCCAAGACCAAGCTGTGAAATTCCTCTTCCCAAACCATCCTTCCATGCACCCCATGCTTTACTTCACTAATCACACGTATCTCCTGCACTTGTATTAACCCTCCGAATAATAACAATGCACCACTAGGCACCTCCATCTCGGCAACCCTATGTGGAAACCAAACCCCTCTCCCAAATTTCAAAATCAGATCACACTTGTCTGAACCATCACCCGTACCCTTCTCTTCAATTGTACCGACAATCAAGTCCTTAATTAAGCAAGGGTCCATCTGCTGTGAAAGATTATGAATTTCACAGGCCTTGTAAGCTTGCTGTCGCATTTCCATCATTCCTTTCTCCCCCAATCTCGACTCAGCTCCATTCCATCCCATGGTCTCGTCCTCAGTGCCCCCAGAACTGGGTTTCATTTCATAGAGAAGGCCTCTCGTTAATCCACCCATCGTCGGCCCAACGCAGCCCTGAATGGTCAGCCCATCTTCGATACCTAAACCCGCAAATTTTGACCCAGCTACCGCCATCTTGCAGATCCCATCGTCTCTGCGACTTCCTTCTTCTCCGTTGCGCTCTCGGCCACCGTTCTCCAACTCCCTTTTCCTTCTGAATTTCCATGAAATGGCAGATCTGATGGGGATCATTTGTCTTTCTTTTCCATCCTGTAATCGAGCCTCCCAAGGAAACATCTCCACTGCCACCCGATCTGCTATTTTGTTGTTGTTTGAGGCGTTCGGCAGGGCAACTCTTGAATTGGTGGATTGGTTTGTGCCTACGGTCATCGAGAAGAGAGGATTTTCTGCGTCAACTTCAACAGCCACACTGGTCAACCCTTGGTCCATCGTTTGAGAATGGTTTGAAACCCTTTTGTAGGCGGAATCAATCTGAAACTGCACGTTGGTCTTAGGTGTTGTAGTGATGGTATCGTTGATGCCTATGTCAACGGCGATAGGTTCTGGCGAGGAAAGCTCCAGTGCGGCCGCCGCCTTAATCACCAGCTGGTTCGGCTCAGTCTCATCCGCTGGGGCTGGTTGTTTGTTCGTGATTATGGCAAGGAACAACTGAGGTTCTGCGGGTAGGAGAGGGTCCTCTCCCTCTTCAGCGGCGGCGATGGATTTGACTTGCAGCGACAGTGGTTCGGAGACACTCGATGGCGCGACAAGAGGGAAGGATGACATCAATGGTGCAGGCAGTGCGATGTCAACGACATCAGCGTCTTCCTCCGCATCCTCTACAAACCTAGAGCTTCAGCTTGCGACGGTAGCGGTGCGGTTTCTATAGGTGGGACGACAATCTCCACCTCTCCCATGGAGGCCAGGGTCTTGACTTGCAGCCTCGGTGGTGTTGTTGCTGGCCTGTGTTTGTCATACGTCGCAATGAGCATGTTGCAGGTAGCCATGACACGTTCTATCTGCTTGAGTGCCTGATTGATGAGTTCCTCCTCCCTTGATGGTCTCTTTGAGTTCATCGTGATAGGAATCCGGATCAACGGCTCTGATACCAAATGATACGGGTTGAAATCGTATGAGTGAATGAATCTCTTTTCTTGGCGGGATTGAACCAGTTCTCTCTTTTCTTGGCGAGAGGTTACCAGGGTTTTCTTTGCTAAAATTCTCCTCCTGTTATTCCATAAACTCTGAACTTAAATACATCACATTTGCAAAGGAAAAAACAACTAAACCCTATTCTTGTGGAACCACTCCCACGTTCTACTAACAACTAACTATATGCGCCTATTCCTGCTCCACCTATTCTACTAACTCAACATACTCTAACAACCTTGTTGACTCTTTCAAAGAACAATTGCTAAAATGCTAAAACAGTAAACACTAACCACCTAACTAAATGACTTGTGGGCTCATCATTACCACCCCCTGAAAAGCGGCCTTGTCCTCAAGGCCGAGCTTAACGAAACGATCATCGGAAATGCAACCTTTGAAGACGACACGCGGAGGACGACAACGACGATTGCATTGGCACCTCCTGCGGCGGTGCGGCTTCGATCGCTTTCGAAACTTCCACGTTGTGGCTTGACCTCCGTTCTTCTTCCTCCCCTTTGCTGGAACTCTCTGTTCCGTAACTTGATCATCAGCGCGGTGGACAATTGATCTTTCAACTCCACGTGACTTGGTCCATGGATAAGGCAAAGAAAGCCTCCCCCATGATTATCATATTTACCCCACGATAAAGTTAGCCTTGTGCGTTTTTTTGAGTGGACAAGCAGCAGCTGCCCCCAACCCATCATCGACCCATCAAATTCCAAATGTTTCGTCGGTATACGATACCCCGATGGCGGCCTTTCACATAAAGAGGAACCTAAATGCATTCCCTTTACCCCATCCAATTGATTCCTCCTGTTCACCAACTCCAACTTTATCTCCTTCAAGTACCTTTGACCTCTTCCACTTGCCTTCCCATACATGAGACAAGTCCACCACTCCCCTATCATTTCTCCAGGCTCACAGTGGCGAGGGATGAATAGTTGTCCTCTAAGAGCTGGTGCCCCATCAACATTGCTGAATAATGGCCCCCTCACCTTCCGCTCGCATCTCACACTACCTTCACCAACAACAATTGATCCCCTCATGGTTGATCGATCCTCTCGCCTGTATCCTTGAGCTCGAGCAACGATTGCACTTATCACACAACCAATCAATCTCTTTTTAGCAGCTCTACCTGTGGGCTTAACCGGGTCAACCCCATACCTCAAACGATCGGTCAATCCTCCCATGCTCGGGCCGATATGGCCCCGGCTTCCCTTGATGTTGTTGTGGTCGCCATCTTCCATCTGCTTCTTTCTATATTTCCAATTGACCCAATGACAATTGAACGAGGTAGAGTGCATACCAGAATCGTAAACTGTTCCTCCGAACCTTTCCTCAAGCCCACTAATTATGAAAGAGGATGTGGGCTCAGTACGCTTGACGACCATGATGGCCTTTTGCTGCTCCTCATAATGATGCTTTAGGGCGCGATGTGGTGGTACAGGAGCGGCAATAACCCCGCTCTCTCGGACAACAGCGACGTCCACCACAACTACATTGGGGGCATCAATGACATCTTCTTCCTTGGCCAGATTCGTTTCGTCGGGCCTCAAGGCTATCTTTGTAGCTTTTTCCTTCCCTTTGTTCACGGCAACATCAAGTTCGACGATTGATTGTCCATCAATGGACAATGCCGCAACAATGACAGTGCCCGGGAAGTGCCTCTCCTTGACAGGTGTGGTAACGGTTAATAACATCATGGGTTCTTCGGTCACCAGATCAATCTCCTCGACGATAGGTGAAATTGTTGCGGGCGAGACGGACGACATCGAAGGTGCAGATGGCGCAACATCGAAATCTTCTCCGCCTTTCTCTACCGACATAGAAACTTCAACGTGTGGTGGTAATGTGGTGACTCTATTGGAAGCCTTGATGGCTCTACGACAAGCTGCCATCGCTATATCCAAGGACGTCATCATTCGATTGATGAGTTCATCTCTTGATGGTTTCTCTGGTCTCATCATGATCGAAACACGGATTGATGGCTCTGATACCAAATGATACGGGTTGAAATCGTATGAGTGAATGAATCTCTTTTCTTGGCGGGATTGAACCAGTTCTCTCTTTTCTTGGCGAGAGGTTACCAGGGTTTTCTTTGCTAAAATTCTCCTCCTGTTATTCCATAAACTCTGAACTTAAATACATCACATTTGCAAAGGAAAAAACAACTAAACCCTATTCTTGTGGAACCACTCCCACGTTCTACTAACAACTAACTATATGCGCCTATTCCTGCTCCACCTATTCTACTAACTCAACATACTCTAACAACCTTGTTGACTCTTTCAAAGAACAACTAGTTTATTTGTCCGCGCTTTGCAGCGGTAAGAAACAAAATATATATAAAATTTTATAACGTCATTTAATCATCTATGTGAAATCAATTTTTTTGTCCGCGCTTTGCAGCGGTAAGAAACAAAATATATATAAAATTTTATAACGTCATTTAATCATCTATGTGAAATCAAATAATTTAATAAATAGTTCCGATAAGGCACTCTCATAAGTTTTGTGTAGCATCTTAATGATTATAAAATATTTGTGTAATACGTATATTTAGGCATAAGAAATCATTATCTCTTCATAAAATTTAAGTAGTATCTTAATCAGTATAAAAAATTATGTAATATTTTAGTTTAATATTGATATATATATGGTGGCGTCTTCAGTGCACTCACTTTTTTTATGCATTCAATGCACTCGACTCATAATCGTCAATCCGAGCGTGTGATTCATGTCAAAACGGTATTGATCGTTGCTTAAGATATTATGAACAAGAAACACGTGGATTTTAAAAAAAATCATTCAAGAGTTAGTTTAATTTTAAGAATTTAGAATTTAGGGATTTAGGGTTAGGGTTTAGGTTTATAATTTGGGGTTTTGGGTTGAGATTCAAAATCAAATGTTAAGGGGTTTGGATAATGGATTTATTAGTTGTGATTCTATGTTATATCATCATATTAGACTAATGCTACCAATTAAAGTTCAAAATTTTATGTATTATGGCCATATTTTGAGTTGAGTGATGTATTTGTAATTTACGTAACTATTGCAGAGCGATGCTACAGTAATTTTCCTTAATATATGGTCTAATAAAATCAAATTATGAAAATTATTATATTTGATTAAACTGTTATGTAGAAGTTATAACTAACCTTACATGACCATTCTATAATATAAATTGATGAGAAAACGAATAGTTTAGTTAATAATAAATGAATTTTCGTTGAAACTTATGTTATAGAAGACTTACATCGTATGCTTATTTAATTGATACATAAGAAATAAAAATTCATTCATCACCTTAACGTAGTGTCTTAAAATTAAAGAGTACTTGCATAATATATTTTTTAATTAATGCATAAGAAATAATTATTCCTCTATAAACTTTAAATAATATAACTTTAATTTACACGAATTTTATAGAAAAACTTTACATAAATCTTTTGTAACATGTGGTCTTAATAATAAATTAAACTTATGAAAAGTACCAAACTCGATTGAATTGTCATGTAAAAGTTAATTGACCTTAAGAAATCTGTGTAATGCAAATTAATAATATGGTGAATACTTTAGTTATACAAAAATTAAGTTATGATAAGTCTCATTAAAAACAGTAGTTTAACTTGTGGATTAATAATATAATTGGCCACCCAATATATAATATATACTTGCGGGTTAATAATATAATAATTGGCCAACCAAATGTAAAAGGCGTTGAAGTGTACAGGAAAATATATTGGCCAACCTAATGCAAAATTGCTTTGAAGCTTCCGGAAGTGTCCAGGAGATTTTTTTGTCCGTAGGATGCAATATTATGGGTCTAATCACAGGGATCAGCCTTTATGAACAGTGACTCGAGGGGCCGCGATAATTTCGTATGCAACAGTAGTTTAACTTGTGGATTAATAATATAATAATATAATAATAATAATAATATAATTGCTAAAATGCTAAAACAGTTAATACGATCCTGGGGTGTATTTTTATCAAAGTAACGCAGCTAATTCAACTCAAAGGATTGAATTGAATTGATAACCAAAAGAACAGGACGTGCTTAGTACGATTTGGGATGAGTTTGAAACGAAAGGACAAATCCTCACTTGGGGACAAGCTCAATCGATTTCGAAAGGTAGAATCACTACTCAAACAAGTATGAATGACTTGAAAGAGAAGTCTGCAAGCCTAGGACGAATCCAAGACCAAAAATCAAGCTCGCAAGCTCAATGGGATAAACTCCTCGGAGTAATTTTTATTCAACAATTCTCTAACTATTACAACGAAAACTAGAGGGCTTTTATAGCCAAAGAAAACCTAATACAACTGTAAACTAACAAGGAAACTAATTAGAACAGGAAAAGGCTAAAGAATTCGTGTAAAACAAGGTAACTTGCAAGCCAAGAAACTGACTTAAAACACAAGCAAGTCTGCCTAGGAAAACAGGCTTCATAGCATCTTTGAGCCCTTTGAAAATGGTCTTGTAGGTTGATTCAAACTCAACCAATCCCTTTCCTTTGTAGAAGAAAACTTCCTATTTCACCTCCAACTTGAATCAGCCCAAGATCATTCTCCAATCTCCAGATATAGGCCTTCAAAGTTGGTATCTCAACACAGTTTTCTGCCTTAGTCATTTTCTGGCAGTTTTCCAGTTTTGAGGTAGCAACTTTGAGGCTTTGGAAAACAACCTTAATTACTTTTTCTTGAGCAACCAAGCATACCAATGTGTAGATAATCATTCCATGTTCAACAAAAGCCATTAAACTTGAATTTACATTGAGCCAATTAAGAGAAACATGCCTCCAAAGTCGGCTGCTTGAACACGGAAAGTGACTTGGACAATTTTCAGCTTCTTCTTTGCAATTCGACTTGGCCTCTTTAACGATTAATCCTGGATGAAATTTGATCGATTCCAGGATCGTATCAACAGTAAACACTAACCACCTAACTAAATGACTTGTGGGCTCATCAAAATTGCTTTAGTCTGTTGTGATTTGGGGTTTCTCAGATGTCTGAACTTGGTGGAAGAGACCTTCATTTTGATTGCTATGGCTGAATTAGCACATTGATCTTCATTTTGTTCATCTTCTCTTATTTGATAATCAGATATATCTAACTAGTCGCTACGCGCTAAAAAGTTGGGCCTGAGCCTGACTTTTTGGGTTGGGCCTTTCTTCCTAAAGAAAACTTCCTACCGAGCAGGCGAGCACCATAGCCTGGCAGCAGTCACCATAAAATTAAACATAATGGTTAAATAAGAATGTACAAATAATAAGAATAAAATTGTTTGTACAAGCAAAATAATGTAAAATTCAAATCACAAAAGTTAAAAAAAAACTCAAAACGGTTCAATTTCGGGTTCACCCGAACCGAACCAAACCCGCCAGCACATATTTCGGGTTTCCAGCACCCGAAACCCACAAAGCACAGTTCGGTTTCGGGTTGTGGGGGATCGGGTTCGGGTTTTCGGTTTTTCACTGTTTTCGGGTTCGGTTACCAGACCCGAACCGAACCGACAGGCCTAATCGGAGGCAAGCCCATCTTGCGAAAGATGTCTAGGAGAATTGATTATTTATGGGAATGAAATAGATAGTTTGATGGGGCTTTTGAAGCTCGGGACCAATTGTGGTGGATAATAAATGATACGTTGTTTGTGCTTATCCACACTAATCAACTTATCCTGCAGCTAGGACCACTCTGTTATGACACACAACAACACAATATTAATACGGGGACAAAGAAATTCCAAATGTTCACAGCTGATCATTAGTGGTATTGATTTGAAGTTGGTTATCTTTTTTTTCTGACTGAATAATCTCTCTTTCCTAATTCCTAGTGATGGACCCCATATATCCTTGTTCTTTCAATCCTCTATCCAACCCATGAGAGCTTCCTCGCTGACCCACATGAAATCGAGTTCGCAATCTCTATCGGACAATCAACAACTCCCATGGCAGCAGTAGCGCGCAGATTACTCTGCCGTCCTTCGACCAGATAATGAAGCTTCTCGATGGAAGAAAATCGTCATGTTCCTCGACTACGATGGCACCCTTTCCCCATTTTCGAAAGACCTCGATCGTGCTTTCATGTCCAAAAAAGTCCTCCATTTCAACTCCCGGGAAGAACAAAATTGGAAAGATTAAAAACTTTGCTCCATTTTTTCTTCACTTTCTTTCTTTAGATGAGGACGTATGTTAAAATGCTGGCTAGGTGTTTCCCATCCCCATAATGAGAGGAATATGAAGGGACAAGGTACATTAATGTCGTGCAACTGATGTAGTGGATGTCTGAGATTTCTAGCTATGCGGACCTCTCGCCAGGCGAGCAGGGCAGGCGAAGTGGAGACGGAAGGGGAAGGCAATCGGTGGAGGGCGTTTGCTTCAGGCCCACGATGCGATCATGGGAGTCAGATGACGGCGGGGATTTTCTATGGGCTGACGGAGATTCTAGTAGCTGAATCGCTCTGTACAGCCGCAGAGGAAAGCGGCAGTGTTTCTGCCTTCAAGATTTCGGATGGGTTGTATAGAATTAGGGTATTCGGTTCAATTGGTTTGGTCATTAATTTTTTATTAATATCTTAAGTGATGTGGCGTGTGGACTGGACATAACTAACGGTTTTTTTGATGGAGATGGACGGAAGTACCATTTTGTTATTAATCTAAACATATATTATTGAAACGTGCAAAATGAAAGGTTTGTGACTGTTTTGTACAAAGTGTATAGATTTGTCACCTTTTATGCTAATTACCTATTGGATCATAGATATCTTCACGAATGGGCCAGGAACGAATGCATATCTTAAAGGACGGCTATTTTGATTGTTCCAATAAGTGGTGTCAAAGTTGATTGAATCGTCAAAGTAATATTAGTTCATACAAAGGGGAAGTGGTCCTCGTTCATTCTTTGGGCTGGACCATAATTCCGATCTTATGATGCAAATTGCAAATGGGAAGATGGAGTGTCGTCTTCAACTTTAAGTCGAACAGGGTAGCTCTAAGTTGAAGAATATAAAAGAAGATAGAAGAGAAGAAATGCTCTTCTCTAATATACAATTTTCAATATACTATCGGACCGATGATCAGAGACGGACCCCGTTATGAAAATTGTATGAAATTCAAAAATTTTATGAAGGACCTACATTTTTTTTTGTGTTGTCCAATTTTCGTTCAAAATTTTTGTGAAGGATCTATATATTTTTTTTTCAATTTTTTGTTTTTAATTTGGGACATCCTCCACCACTCCAATAATTATAGCAACACCCTTTCTTTATACTACAAGAATTTTATTGTTCTAAATTTACTCATTTTAATTTTTAATTAAAGTAATTCCTTCTAATTTGTTTATAATTATAACAATTGCTATTAAAAACCTACCCATCAATTGGAATACTGCCTTCCACCCCTCAATCATTAGGCCTTGTCCTTTCTTTATTGCCAAAATTAAAGAATACCTAACAAAAAACTTCACTTATCACCCGAGACCAACCAGATTCCCTTCTCAATGTCCTTTTGTTGTTTGTTTCTTTCTCTCACGATAGCTGATACCCGAGAGTAAGGAGCAAGGCGGAGACCACTGCCTCATCGCTCGACCTTGTCCCTGCTGACCTGCCGCATCGCCGCCACCCCTTCACCGGCGTCCGGCGGTTACTCATTAAAGCCGGTGAGGCGGCCATTGCATTCAAGCTTTGAGGAGGCTACAAATCAAAATGTAATTAATTCAGAGATATTAACCTAAATTGCAATTTTTAGGGTTTTTATTTCCTTTTTTCATTTTTCACCAATTTTACTTGTCAATTTGTGATTAATTGGCGAATTGAATAGATTAGTGGTAGATTGAGATTTGATTTTGGCTAATATGGTAGAAAAAGAACAAATTTTTTAATGATACGGATTTAGGCATACTTTGTTTTGTCCTAATTTGCTCATAGCTTATTTACTATATTTGATAATTAAGTATAATTTTTGGAATCATTTGAATAACCAATTTATGAATGATTTTTCAGTTGTATATATTAAAAAAGGTTTGATCTGCAACATAAGTGATAAATGCATTTTACAAACATTTAAAATATGCAAAAGCCATCGCGGTTCATAGTAAACATGACACTATGAAGTAAATTTAATTTTTTTTAATTTTTTACTTAAATATGTATTCATTAAAAATTTTATTTATTACCGATTTTATGGGCGACACCCCTCTTCAGACATTCTGAGTCCGCCACAACCAATGATACGATACGGTTTAGTAGAAGACATGTGTTTTAGTCGAATTCGATCAGCCTGGCTGCCGTGACAGGCATGCGATCGAGAATGACCAGTGGGGGCCGGAGTACGACGCTGATTGCGATGATCGATCGAGTAGGTGCAATTGCCACACCAGCCTTAATTTACTAGCCCTACTAGCTAGCTAGATGTTGTTGTGGCTATAAAACAAAAGACGGGCATGGGTTGGGTTGTAGCATCAAGTCAGACACAGAAGGCGCTCGCTGCCATATTTCCTTGTTGATCATTGATGGGGACACTGGTAGCCGGTTTGCCGCGGTTTGTGGTTCTCCGATCAAGGAGCGAGAACAGGTACCTGCATTACCTTTGGAACGACCAGTGGGGGCCGGAGTACTACGGGTTCATGGGCACGAAGCGGGACCTGGATCCGGTGAGTCCCTTCGTCAAGCTCGAAGTCGTCCCTTCCACCACAAACCCATCTTCCTTCATCCACCTCCGCTGCTCTTACAACAACAAGTTCTTCCGTATTGTCCAAAGGTACCTAACTCACATGTTGATATATATATATGTATGATATAGAAAATAATATTTGGCATCTAATATTATTCTCAAATCTTTAAAGTTTAAAATCTAGGTTTTAGGGGTCGGTGATAGTTAAATCAATCGATTGTGATCAATGCGTGCATTGTAATATACATGGAGTTAAGGAAAGTGATGTAATGTATTTTACATTGTTTGGTTTTGTTGATAGTTTTTTTTAGTATTCAACAAGTTTATTACTTTTTGTGAGAAAGATCACTTTTGTTCTTGATTTTATTAGAATATATATATGTGTGTTAATGACTGGTATACTCCAAATGATCTAGCCGTTAGATCTCCTTTTTTGAGCTACGACCAATCTCAACGATTAATTAGTATTTTTTTATTAAATTGAACTACTGATTTGAGTTTAGAGAATCGGGGGCTGAGGTTTATCCATTAGAGTTTAGGGTATAGTATCATACCTCAAACTCCTCAAAACTCAACAAAAAAGGAACCCACCAATCTTCTCAAAACTATCTCAACAATCTCAAATTTTAGTAAAGATATTGCTATCACTCAATCTGAGTGATAGTTTCCGATTCCATCATATCAAGCAAATAATTCCATCACATAAAAAAAACAATGCATTGTGGACAATGCATCCATTGTAACTATTCCAACCAAACAATCACCAAAACCAAAACAACCATTCAATAAATCGCATACACTAAGATCAATTTAATTAGAAACAGAAATCGACTGTCATGATTTGTCAAAATATATGCAACAAATTGCGTGCACAATCTTATGGGTTAGGCTCTATGATTTAGATACCTAAAACCTAGGGTTTACTCATTCAGGTTAGGGTATAGTATCATGCCCAAAAATTTGGTTAATTCGAGGTTTTGATACCGTTTTCTTGCTTAGGGTATGTCGTACCCTAGATTTTAACGAAAGTACGGGAGAATCCACTGTATATATATTTATGTGATATGTGGTTCAACTTGAGTACTATTAACAAATGAATAATTAAAAACAGGTATGGCCTGTGGTTCGTCAGTGCCACGGCGGACAACCCCAACGAGGACACCTCGAGAGTCGGCGAGTGCACGCTCTTCGAGCGCGTGTTCGCCAGCAACCAGGTCAACACCGTGTGGTTCCGTTACGTGGCCAACCAATGCCGTGTCTTCTGGTTCAACAACACCAACTATCCGCACGTGTATCGTCTGGCGATGGTCTACACCCAAGACGAGCGCTTCACCAACTTTTACGAGTTCGCGCCTTGGGAGTCGTTCGACGACAAGATGAGGGCCAAACACTACCAGATCCAGACCCGTGACATGGAGATACAGAGGTTGACTGCCCATGTGGCCGCCAGAGACGAGGAGCTCCGCAACCTGCGCCGCCAGCTCGCTGACAAAGACGAGGTGATCCTTAACCTTAAAGGCCGGGTGGCGGCTCTCAAGGCCTACGTGGAGAAGAGGAAGGCCAAACTGGAGTATGGGATGCTGACTCTGCAGTCCGCCGTCACATCCGCTTGGGAGTCCTTCCACCTGAACTTGGCCTGTAGAATCGTACAAATTACAGGTGGTTTCGAACAGGTACTCAAGCTGCCAGCTGTATGATCTCCGCCAGCTCATCACTTCGTTTAATTTACTTTTCTCATGTACCTGCTGATCAAGAATAAACCTTTGTATGTGTATTTCAGTTTCCTGGGGATACAGTGAGATCTGTGCGTATGTATTTCTGACCGTTTGGTTCAGGTTGACTACTATAATTTTACGGCGGTGTGAATGAATAAATAAAAGCTCAAATGTAACAAATTGGTGAAATGTGAGATTTGAAATTGGTATTTAAGTTTGAAAGTTCAAGAGGATTAGTAAAATTAGGAAATGGGCTCTTAGGTACGCTGTTGTTTTCGTTTTTTACTTCGCACTCCGTCACCTTTTTCTTTTTACGAAAAGATAGCTTGCATTAAACAAGAATACAAAGTTACATAGACTGTGACCAAAGCCACGCACGGAAATCAAAACAATTACAACCCGCAAGAAACAAAGACAAGGCCTTCTTAGCCACCGAATCGGCTACCCTATTGTTCTGTCTACCTAGAAATTGAATCATAAACCCTAGTAACTGCTTCCCCACCAGATAATTGACAAGGTCAGAGTACCAAGGGGTGACACTCTCCACCAAGCACAGTGCCAGAAGTCGCTCATTCGGGAAGGATTCATTGAAAGATGATCGGCGGCGACATTCTCTGCTCCTTTCTTGTCCCGAATCGACTACCCTATTGTTCTGTCTACCCACAAATTGAATCATAAACCCTGGTAACTGCTTCCCCACCATATAATTGACAAGATCAGAGTACCAAGGGGTGACGCTCTCCACCAAGCACAGTGCCAGAAGTCGCTCATTCGGGAAGGATTCATTGAAAGATGATCGGCGGCGACATTCTCTGCTCTTTTCTTGTCCCGCATCTCGATGTCGAACTCCTGCAGAAGCAGGATCCAGCGGATGAGTCTAGGCTAGGTGTCAACCTTAGTCATCAAGTAGCGGATGGCCGAGTGGTCAGAATATACCACGACATGAGAGAGCACCAAATACGGTCGAGAAGTTGTCGAATGCATACACCACGACCAAGAACTCCTTTTCTGTGATAGTGCAGTTCTCTTGAGCATCGTTCAAAGTCTTCGACGCATAGTAGATAGGCTGGGTGCATGGGTTAGATTCTCCTTCAAAGTCTCGAATGCAGTCGTGCACTCTAGAGTGAAGTGAAATGGTGTGTCTTTCTTGAGAAGTTTGGTAAATGGCAAGGCTATCTTCAAGAAATCTGTAATGAAGCACCGGTAGAAACCTGCCTGACCTAGAAAACTATGGATCTCCTTCACTGAAACAAGAGGAGGTAGCTTGCTAATTGTCTCTTTCTTGGTGCGATCGACCTCGATCCCCTATTTGGAGATCTTGTGGCCAAACAAAATACCTTCACGAACCATGAAGTAACACTTCTCCCAGCTGAGTGCCAAGTTACTCATGTCCCGCCAGCCTCTTCAGCATCTGGTCAATGAAAGGAAGCGGGAAATGATCATTCCTGGTGGCGTCGTTCATCTCATTCTTCGCGTTCGGGACCACTGTCATCCCGCCATTCTTCGGGACCCCTGGTTGGGGCTTACCCACTTGCTATCAGATATAACAAAGATGATCTTGGCATCCATCAGCTTCACAATCTCCACCCAGACCACTGCCTCCAAGTTAGGAGCCAACCTCCGCTGCGGCTGAAAACGACACTTTGTAAAGCAATTGAAGATCATTTGAACACAAATTCAAACGCAAGGTAAATAACACAATTTTGGTGTTGTCACTGATACTCTGATCCTTCTCTCCCTCCTGCCATCAATGCACCTTAGGATTCCCTCACTCAAGACATTCTGCAAGTCCAAACAGTGTTGGAACTTGCTATGTGAACCCGACTTCGTGAGCATGTCAGCAAGTTTATCTGCGGTGCCAACCTTATTCACCATAATCCTCTTCTATATCCTTAAGAAATGATACCTCACATCGATGTGCTTAGTCCTCTCATGATGGACTTGATTCTTGGCCAAACATATTGCACTCAAACTGTCACAATACACCACTGCCATACCATATATGATGTAGACCCAGATCACCAAACAGTCCTTTCAACCATATTTCCTACTTAGAAACTTCTATCAACGCTATGTACTCTGCTTCAGGAGTAGGCAATGTCATTGTCGACTGCAAAGTTGCCTTCAAACTCACAACACAACTCCCAAGAGTGAATACATAACCGGTCATCGATCTTCTCGGTCAACATCTCCAACATAGTCAGAATTTGAATAACCAGCCTCTAAGCACACTGTATCAATTTCGAAGCTACTTTCCACATCAGATGTACCCTTAAGGTACAGGAAGATCCTTTTCACACCCTGCCAATGCTTCTTCCCAGTTTATATCATGAACTTGCTGACAACACTAACAGCATGTGCAAGATCAGGTCTAGTGCATACTATAACATACATCAAACTACAAAATGCACTAGCATTTGGGACTCTCGACATGTATTCCTTCTAAGCCTGTGATTGTGGTGCATAAACTGAGGATAGATGAACATTTGAAGCACTAGGAGTATTCAAGGGCTTTGCTGAACACATGCCAAATCTCGACAATATCTTCTGGATGTAGCTCTTATGTGATAATAAAAGCTTATCCTTCTCTCTATCCCTGTAAATATCCATACCCAAAATCTTCTGAGCAGCTCCCAAATCCTTCATCTCAAACTCAGCACTGAGAAACCCCTTTAACTTTTGGATATCATACGTCGACCTCGCAGCTATGAGCACATCATCCACAAACAGAACCAAATATATCATCAAACCATCCGCTGCCTTGCTTTGATATACACAACAATCATAGGGACTTATGTTATACCCAGCTCAAGCATGTAGCTATCAAACTTCTTGTACCTCTGCGTTGGAGATTGCTTAAGTCCACACAAGGACTTTTTTCAGCTTACAAACAGTCTTCTTTTCCGAGAACCTGGAATCCTCTAATTGAGTCATGTAAATTTCTTCCTCTAGCTCTCCATGTAGAAAAGTTGTATTCACGTCTGTCTTCGTTGCCCCCGCAGTCAATGCAGTCAAAAGCGCGATTCTACCTAGAAGCGGAAAAGGGATAAAATTGTAAAGCGTAGAATCAAAGCGTAAAAGCGTAAGTTTTTTACGCATACTGAAAAATAACTAAAAATTTATTAAGTAAGACATATGCTATGCAAAATATGAATGCACAGATAAGTTAATAAATACATACGATTCATGCCTAAAGTAGAATGCATCTTAATAATAAGTTCGTAAACATAAATTTTAACAATAAGCCACTTTTCCCTCTATGCTAATGAATTTGGGAAAAGCCTAGCTAGTGAATTATATTACTCTATTGAAGTTGAGAATGCATCCAAGTACCTGATATGTATCTTCTAATCTCAAATGTATCATATTGTTGGTGATTTACTTTTAAAATATACTTTTTATAATTAATTTCATGAAAATAATACTCATTTAGTGAACTAAAAGCGTAAAAACGTAAAGCGTTTTGGTGAACTAGAAGCGTAAAACCGTTAGCTTTTAAGCTTTAAAGCGCAATTTAGTTGATTTTATACACTTAAGTTTTTATATGGAAACGAAAGCGTTTTGGTGACCTTAAAGCGTAAAATCGTAAGTTTTTAAGTTTTAAAACGCGATTTTGACTGCATTGCCCGCAGTCCCACCGGGACGTTGCCGCTACCCCACTCGCTGACAGGGCAACGAGATCGCCGTGACTTCCAGTCATAGCGGCTGATAGTCCATTTCAAGTCACATCCACAATCACCCTAGCATAAAAAATGGATGTACGACTCTGATTCAATATTCTTTTTAATTCAGTGGGGGGGCCAAAGTGAAGTAGAGTTACATGTGGGAGAGAGAGGTGGAGATACCAGCACTATAGTCCTGGTTTACAATGTTTCTAGCAAAAGATACTCCTTGAATGTCTTTGAAAATAACCTGTTGGAGTTCACGTGGAGGGTTCATAATTTAATACACCCCAAAAAGATAGACGAAACTGTGATTCGAGAACCAGTCTGTGGCTCTATCCCCTTCGCATTACGTATGAACAATACGGACCAACCATCCTTTAGCCAACTTTCGCTTTGATAGCATGAGGGTGGATCGGATCTGTACACGGTGGGATATCAACTCAATAGCAATCCGAGAACCGGTTTCGAGAATGATACATGAACGGCTCTGATTCATTTAAACTACCGCTATACACAACACAACCTTTATCTGCAATGTGAAATACCCTTGAGGCATAGGATAGATATCGAACTGCAGAAGTGGCCTACCATAAAATTCATTTAAGACGTTTCGTGTCCTATATATTTACTATCATCACCAGAAATTGGTCCCGTGAGCTTCAAAATTAAAAGCCCATTGCAGTCTATTTCATTCTCATAACTCTCTTATACGCACACATCTATCACAAGATGGCATGCACCGGTCAGCAATAATGTAATAGATAAATATTCCATGTGCACATTTATTGCATCGCATTAAATTGGTCCAGGCTTGAGTAAGATAGCGATGATCAGACACAAGTAATTTGGCTATATATAGCTTTCTTCACCATTTCGTTTTGGTGGGAAATTTAGTCTCTATAACTGCCAACGTAGATAAAGAATCCTTACCCGACCAAAAAGATGATAGCTATTAGCTAGGGTGGTGTCCTATTTTATTGGTTTGTAAATTTGTAATAGTCCTACTTCATTGATCACGAAAGGCGGTGATCGGTCACTAAAAATCTAAAATACCGATGACAACTTGTATACTTGACTCTCAGTAACCACCCTTTTCTTTTAACAAATGAGAACTCGACCATTCAAAGAGTTATCCACAATCATTAAATCACCCTAACAGTGACTAACGGTGAAACGAATCGTAAAGTTGGTGGTGAATATGAAAGAAAAGTAATACGGGTGGCAAACATGAAAAATTTATGTAATTTTAATTGACCTGGGACTTAATGTATGCCAGCCTGCTTAATTCTGATGCAAGACCTTTTTCCAGTTAGTACGGGTTAAACACAACCATGAAATTTGGTAATTATGACAACCAGTGGAGTCCGGTTTCAGATATTACTATACATACAATCTATGGTTCTGAACAAGTATATGGAGTATAGACCAATCACCAGACCAAATACTATATAGTTCAGATCAGTTCATGCCTATGCAATTTTTTCTACCACGCAATAGTTTTTTTGAAAAGAAAGAATTGTAAATACTCTAGTTAAATCTAGTCTTTGAAACTTGTGAGCTTGAAAACTAAAGCACATTCTGGTCTTATTCATTCTCATAATTCTCTTATACGAACACATCTTTCACAAGATTTCCTGGCCAGCGATGTAATAGGTAAGTATTGCTGCGCCCTTTCCATATCTTGAATAGTCATCTTCATATGCAACGGGAGCAGATCGGATGAGTAACTAATGGGTGAGTAACCCATCAGTAACCCATCTCTCCTCTCTTCACGTGTCAGTTACTTTTTTATTTAAATTAAATGATAAAGGGCAGTAAGGTAAAATGCACTTATCCCCTATTTATTGCTGACGCGCTGACTTTTGACCGACCACATCAGGACCTCCTTCTCTCTCATCGAAAAACCTTTAATTTTTATTCTCTTAATCTTTAACGGACGATTTCTCACTCGTTTTAAGTCAAAATTTAATTTTTTTTGCACAGTTAAATAAGATTAATTATGCTCTTCAAAATGATATCCACTTTGATATTTTTTTGACACAAAATTTTTTTTTCAGTTATTACCAGTCTATACCATATGGTATAGTGTGGTAATATCAATATATATTTCGTTACCACCCAATACCATATGGTATAGTGTGGTAATATCAATATATATTTCGTTACCACCCAATACCATATGGTATAGTGTGGTAATATCACACAATACCATATGGTATAGAGTGGTAATATCAATATATATTTCGTTACCACGCAATACCATACATTACCATAGGGTATAGTGTGGTAATATCAATATATATTTCGTTACCACCCAATACCATATGGTATAGTGTGGTAATATCAATATATATTTCGTTACCACACAATACCATATGGTATAGTATGGTAATATCACACAATACCATATGGTATAGAGTGGTAATATCAATATATATTTCGTTACCACGCAATACCATACATCTCAAAATCGAGGAATTTTACAATGCTATATAGCATTGGTGCTATAAGTTTTTACCTTTATGGTACAACTTGAAATTGTACCTTTAATGTTATGGTACAATTTCAGATTGTACCTATACTTTTTGTACAAATTCTTTTATGGTACAACTTAAACTTGTACCTTATGTGATGGTACAACTTCAAGTTGTAAAGTTGTACCATAACATAATGATACAAATTCCTTTATAGTACAACCTAAACTTGTACATTTAATGTTATGGTACAACTTCAAGTTGTACATTAAAGCACCAATACTATATAGTATAGTAGAAGTGCTCCTCAAAATCTTCCTTATTAGAAGAGAGAAGGAAGAAAGTTGAGTTGCAGAGAAAATGCATTGTCTCTCTTTTATTAAAAAGTCAGCCATTGAAATGCGGAATGAATTAAAAAAATTAAAAATACAAAAACGGACAAAAATGCCCCTCCCCACCCCACATCCAGCCCAGCCACACGATTGCTCCATTCCCAATACTACGGCTCCCGTGTGGTTACTGATGGGTCAGTAACCAGTGGTTACTGACCCTATCTTGGACCATATGCAACATATAGATCTTAAATTTTGGTAGCCTGAACATCGATAATTCAAAGTTTTTCGAAATGTAGTCAAATTATACTATTCCTTATTAGAATGTTACTTTATACAAAAGAAAACCTCCATCCCAACGACGGCAAAGGCAGATTGATTTTATATGATTAATCTATATACCCCTCAAATGTAAGCCCATTACTTTAGAGAATATTATACAGGCTTATCATACATTAATTTGTTTTTTTTGTCATAGATAGTTTGTAATAGATAAGGTATTATATTTTCCTGGAAATGAAAGAACGGTAGTCAACCAAACGGATTGGTACCAAGAACCATTTATACCATGCGAAGGACATCCTGTTAGATAGTTAGAATTTGATGGACAAAGAGCTCTGTTACTATATAGATATTTTAAGTATTCATTTCTTCCAAGCTCTTCCCACCTAGCTATTATGCTATTATTGTATTAATATTATATTAATATTATTTAGTTCTATTTTGATTTTTTCAGAGACGAATTCGGTATATTTTCACATCTAGAATTTAGATATATAACATACATATATTACTATCAAGAGGAAATTTCTGATTATTTAGTCGAAATCTAGTTTTATATTATTTACTAACACATATCAATCTTTGTGTTTAAATGATTAATTTGTTGATATATGTGATGGCTAAAAAAAACAAACAAACAAACCGTACCAAACCTCTTGATCAAAAGCTAGCATTATCCTCCCTCCCGTCTGTTTCATTCTCGTCACTGTCTATGCATATTTTTCACAATATGTCCCCTTGGGCCTCCCGTTGTCGAAGTCATTTTCCATCTGTGACATCGATCATCAGTACGTAGAGAGAGCTGGAACAAATCATCTAGTCTATCACTTATATAATTTTTTTTTATCTATATGTAAACTACTATTGAGATTGAATAATCGTTTTACCACAATTTTAGTGGTATCCTGTGACACTCCAAATACCCATGTTCGTGCAATACTTGTGGATCAACAGGTTGACCACATCGGCTGTCTGGTAAACCTTTAAGGTGTAATCGCAGGCTTCATTGTTTTTAGAGCACTCTCCACGATGTAGTATGAAGTATAAAGATATCATTAACTCTTGTCGGTCGGCCATTTTCCTTGAAAGGATCAACCATTTTCGTTGCAGAAAGTACTAAATTCGTCGCAGAAAGTGTTCCGTGACGAATTCTTGTGTCGCAAAAAGTTACAACCGCCACTGTCTATACAATGTCATAACACATTCAGTGCCGAAAATAACTAGCTCATCTAAAAAATATCGAATTCTTTGCTGAAGATCGATAATTCAGTGACTAACATGTCATAGCAGAATGGTAATATGACGAGGAACGGACCTGCATTGCAGAAAATTGTTATTTTGCATCGGATTGTGCGTCACAGAAATATTGTCGCCAAAGGTGATAAAGCTTTAGCAACGGGAACTTTATCTTTTAGTTATCCCCAAAAAAATTTCTAGTTTAATTTAGTATAGGTCGCAACTTTTTTTTTTCTGGTGTTGTTTACTGGTTCGTGAGCAAATTATGCTGGTCCACATCAATCGTCAACCCAAAAATTCAGATTCTCCCAAGATAACTACACTACCAAGTACCAATTTTTAATCCTCATCCAAATTCCTAATTTTCAATCCATTTAAAAAACATTAATTCCTACCAATTATTTATAGAATTTGACAAAAGCCACTTTAATCCACAACCTGCAAAGACAGCCAAAATTAAAACAAGACAAAAAAAAATTAGTATCAAACAAAAAAGATTAACTTGGTAAACGAAAACATCTTACGAAAAATCAGAAAGGTCCCCTACCTGTCATCTTCCCTGGCCTAAGTTCTGGTCCTTAAGTCCTTTTTTTAAGGAAGAACTTAAAGCCTTCTCATTGGCTAATTCAAGATTAGGTAGTTAGTAGGGAGTTATTAGTTAAAAAGTTGTTAGGGGTATTAAGGAGAATACAATTAAATTAAAACTTGCCTAATTTTTTTTAATAAAACCCTAACCCGACGGTATTCATCTGTTTATTATTCCTTCGTCGTCCCAACTTCTCCGTCGTTCCAGGCCGCGTCGACCAACTTCTCCGTCAACGCACGAGTTCTCCGTCGTCCCTTCTCCGTCAAAGCACAAGTTCTCCGTCGTCGTCCCTTCTCGAGCAAGAGTTCTCCCTCCCACTCCGGTCGTCGTGACGACGATTCGATTCGAGTTCTCCGGCGTCGCTCGAGTTATCGTCCCTTCTTCGTCGGCAAAGCACAACATTAGGCCGACGGTTCGAGTTCTCCCTCTCTCTCGTTTCAACTCTCAGTCTCCCTTCGGCGGCCGCGTTTTAAGGTATTTTTTTGTCTCCGATTTTTTTGCCCGCTATTTTGAGGTTTTTTGGCGTTGCATGGGATTAGGGTTTTGGCGATGCATGAGATTAGGGTTTTGTCGTTGCATGGGAGGAGTAGGCGCTGCACAATGGTAGGTCCATTTTTAATTTATTTGGTTTCTGTTATTAATAATTTCGTGGACGTTTACATATTTTTTCTATCCATTGTCACTCGTTCTCAACCTTTTGGCATTAGGGATGGCAATGGGTCGGGTCGGGGGCGGATAGTGCATATCCGTTACCCTACTCAATGTAGTTCGGGTTTTATCCATACCCGTACCCACACGAGAAATGGGTAGAAAATCAAAACCATGCCCATATCCGTTCGGGTTTCGGGTATCCACGGTTATCCATGGGTAATAATTTCTCCTTATAATTCCACCCAATATGTTAACATTCACACGTATATTCACATTGCGTAAGAGGGAAAGTACGACAATAATTCACTAGAATGACGAAAATTAATTAAAACAACATAATTTCATAAAAATATTATATTTATATGCTAAATATAAAATATTCTAGGGAAAAATAATGATTATTTCTAGACCAAATACATATGCATGTGTATAATCGGGCGGGTTCGGGTTGGATAGTGAGATAACCATGCCCACCCATTACCCGCAATATTCGGGTTCGGGTTTTACCCGTACCCACGAAAAATGCTTCGGGTTCGGGTTTTACCCTACCCGATTAGATCGGATTCGGGTGGATATCCACGGTTACGGATACTTTTGCCATCCCTATTTGGCATCCATTATTAATCATTCCGTGGGCGTTTGGAAACCGTCTTGTGTCTCTATTATTAATTAATACGTGCTCGTTTTCAACTTTTTTGCACTCTATTATTAATCAAATTGTCATGCAAGTCAATTATTTGTGTCCGTTGTTAATCATCTGTGCACGTCAATTTTTCCGTCTCCAATATTCATTTCGTATTTGTGACATTTTTTCGTCGCGTCGATGCATGGGATTAGTCGGTGCACAATAGTATTTATTTTTAATTTTTTGGTGTCCATTGTTAATCAATTTTTGCTCGTCTGGAACCTTTTTGCTATCTATTATTAATCATTCGGTGGGCCTTTACAAACTGTTTTGGTCAACATTGTTAATCATTATGTTCTAGCTCTCAATCTTTTGCTCTCTATTATTAATGAATCGGTCGTGTCATGTAAATTATTTAATTGCATTGGTAATTTTATTTGTGATGTTCATTGCTAACATGATAATTTTGTGAACACCGTAATAAATTCTTCTCGTGTTATGTTTTTTTAGTATTGATCGTTATCAACATTCAACACTACTAAGTTATGTTATTTATTAACATTTTTTTTTTGTGTATTGATCGTTATTGGAGAATGGGTTATTAATGATTTCGTGGACGTTCTTTATAATTTTTTGACAGAGCAGGTAAACAGGGACGAGTTATTACAGATTGCTTCACAATTTGGATCCCAATATGCCTAGGAGTATTTCTTCAGTTTTTGCAAACTTGGCAATGTTCAGAAAAATTTCGTTTCTCTATGATTCGGATTCCGAATGGATTATGTCGTCGGTTTTTGCAAACTTGGCAATGTTCAGAATTTTGTTGAATGTTTATTAATATCTTATCATTAGTTATCAAGTTATTTGAACACGATTGTTAACGACCATTGATTATCAGTGTTTTTAGAACATGATTATTAACTTTTTCTCTCAATTCATTAATTGAATTTCGATGATTTATTAGAACATGATTAGAATTTCGATGAGTTAGATTATCAGAAGTTTATTTAACAGTGTTTTATTAACGACCATAGATTATCAAACTATTAGAACACGATTATTAACTTTTTCTCCCAATTCATTACTATTTTTAAACCTATTGTCAATATTTTGTATGGCCGCTTGGATTGATAGAAAACACTGTAATTGTTAATAACTGTAGTTTTAGAATATGTTAATAACTGTAATTATTAATTCTATATCATATCATTAGTAAGAAAATAATACGCTAGCCTTCGCAAAAACAATACCTGACTACAAGTGCCACATAATAATAATAATACTGTGTTCACAAATAGAACTTTGTTTGGTGAACAACGCATAGTCCAAACACCTCTAGCAATCGAGTCCAACAAACCATGTACTTCTACACTAATGTGTAGTCCAAACACCTCATGTATGGTTAAACCTTCTGCTTCTTGGCAGCCTTCTTTTCCTTGTCCTTCTTTGTCTTATTCATTTCCTTCGCCCTCTTCTCCCTGGCAATTGCTTGTTTACTCTTCAATATTAAAATCACGAATGTCCATGACAGGTATAGCACAAGCATCATTCGTATGAACATCATCCACCACTCCTGCAACAATGAACACATCACATCACTAGCACAAGTTTAATCATTCCACATATATACAAGATTAGTCAACTAACCTTCACCTTCTACATATAGATTTTCTACTGTAATTTGGTCTTCGCTTAAGTCATTGTTATTGGAAATATCTTCACCTTCCAAGCTGACATCATAAGGTACTTCATTCAGATCAGCAACGTTGAAAAATTAACAAAACTATTACATTTAATTATTACAACTACCCACTTCATTATTAATCTTCCTTCTCCGATTATTAACCTAAACACTTTAACTTTTAACAATTAACGATAAATTATTACTCATTCCTCTCGGATTAATTATTAACAACCATCAACATCATTACTAATCTTCCCTTCTTGGATTATTAACCTAATCGACAATGAAATTTTTCATGCAAAGTTTACTATTAACCTAAACACTTTAATTATTAACAACTACCACATGAATTATTAATCATCCCTCTCCGAGTAATGACTTTTACTTATTAACACATTGAATTATTAAACATTTCATTTTTAATTAATAATTTAAAACAACTAACAACTTACGTGCAAAGTGAATTATTAATTTAAACACTTCAATTATTAACAACAAACACAAGTATTATTAATGAATTGGTATTAGCAGTTAATAATCGTGTATGAAGATATTGATAATAGGTTTAAAAATAGTAATGACCTACTTACATGCAAAGTTTATTAACTGCTAAAAATATTCCTCTCGGATTAATTATTAACAACCATCAACATCATTACTAATCTTCCCTTCTTGGATTATTAACCTAAGTCGACAATGAAATTTTACATGCAAAGTTTACTATTAACCTAAACATGCAAATTATTAACAACTACCACAAGAATCATTAATCATCCCTCCCCGAGTAATGATTTTTACTTATTAACACATTGAATTATTAACCATGTCCTTTTTTAATTAATAATTTAAAACAACTAACAATTTACGTGCAAAGTGAATTATTAATTTAAACACTTCAATTATTAACAAAAAACACAATTATTATTAAGGAATTGGTATTAGCAGTTAATAATCGTGTATGAAGATATTGATAATAGGTTTAAAAATAGTAATGACCTGATTACATGCAAAGTTCATTACTAATTTAAACACCTCAGATATTAACATTTAACGAAGGCATTATTAATTATCCCCCACCTAGTTATTAACTTAAATTGTTAACAACTCTGGCCTGTTTTATTAAACAACGCAACCAAAAACTTACCAAAAATAACGGGTCTTGGCAATTCCATGGAAAAGCTTAGTCTATGAACGCGGCGAACGACAGACAACCGAGACGACGACAACCGAGACGTTACCGGCCTAAGATGCGAGTCGATGACGACGAAGGAGAAGACGAGACGACAACGCCGGAAAGCAAGCGCCGGTAGTCTACGAACGCGGCGAACGGCAGACGAGAAGGAGAGACGACGACAGCCGAGACGTCACCGGCCTTAGATGCGAGTCGACGACGACAAACGAGAAAACGAGACGACGACACCGGAAAGCAAGCGCCGCAAAGCAAACGCTCGGCCGGCTGCGCGACCCCGTCGGTGATTTCTGAAGGATGAATAGGTTTAGGGTTGGGAGGAGAATGATTTCTCCCATTCGTTCCTTAATTAATAATATCATTTAATTATTTCTATATTCCTGTCTTACACTTTAACGTATTAGGTAGGTAGTTAACCAATCATTACTAATCACTCTCTCTCTCCTTCTCTTATTGGCTGAAAGGGGTTTAAGATTTTCCTTAAAAAAGAGACCTTAAGGACCTGATCTAACCCGGTCTTCCCTTGCCCTGGTCCGTCGGCTTTAGTCCAGCATAAATTGGTCCTGCGAGGTTGAAAATTAAAGCTAATTCCAGTCTATTTCATTCTCATAACTCTCTTATACGCACACATCTTTCACAAGATGTGCACTGGCCAGCGATGTTATAGATAAGTATCGGTGCCCTCTCCATACCTTGAATTGTCATCTACATCTACAGCATATAGATCTTAAATATTGATGGCCTGGCTAGCGATGTAGTCGATAAGTATTTTATGTTGTGGACACTAGTATAGTGAAATCACCTTTCCGGAAAAACATGCCACAAAACCTGTTATTTGCTATGTGGTATTTGTACGAAATAATAAATATCGCATTTGGATGGATTATACGTTGTGATATTTGTGTGAGCTTTAGAAAGGAAATTGACACTTTTATTGATGATGATAATGAACGTTAAATACATAGACTCCAGCCCTGAAAATCAGCCACTGTTAACAACCACATTTACATTATCTGTGGTTCCTTGATTCCAGCTAACTCTTCTAACAACTTCTTCCTATAACACTGCAGACTTGGTTGCAAAGCAACCTGACTCTACACTGAGATTTAACTGAACAATAACATAAACATAGGGACCAACCTGACACTTAATCAAAACGACACAGCAGCAACTTTAACCAAAAACTACACAGCTGCTGCTTTTATTTCCAACGGCTACTTGCTTTGATCTTCAGCTCAACCCAGATTCAAACTTTGCCAACATATCCTCCCCTGAACTGAACCTTCCCAGCAAATTTCAGTTCACTCTTTCACAGACTTGCTTCCAGCCACTTCAACCACTCCAAGCTTGCTCCTCAAGAGTTCAAAAGCTTCAAGCTTCAGAGCTTTCGTCATCACATCAGCCACTTGCTCCCGAGTTCCACAGTGCACAAGCTCTACCACTTCTTCTTTAGCTAAATCCCTGAGAAAGTGAAACCTTACGTCGATATGCTTGCTTCTCCCATGAAGGACAGGATTTTTAGACAGCTTAATCGCAGAATTGTTGTCGCAGTAGATCTTTGTAGCTCCAGCAACACTTTGACTCCATCCCATTTGCTCTAAGATTCTCTTTAGCCATACACATTGAGATGCACAGTAGGAGGCTGCAACAAATTCTGCCTCTGTGGTGGAAAGGGTTACCACAGGTTATTTTTTGGATGCCCAAGATACAGCTGCCCCAGCAAGGAAGAAGGTATACCCACTTGTACTCTTTCTATCGTCTTGATCCCCTGCATAATCACTATCAGTATAGCCAATTAAGCAGTCTTCCTTACTGTTTTTCTTGAACCATAAGCCATGCTTCATAGTTCCTTTGAGATATCTTAGAATTCTCTTAGCAGCAAGTAGGTGTAATCTGGTTGGATGCTCCATAAATCGACTTAACAGACAGACTGAGTACATGACATCAGGTCTAGTTGCTGTCACATATAACAGGCTGCCTATTAATTGCTTGTACTCAGTAGGATTGACTGGTATGCCATCTCCCGCCTTGGTGATCTTCATCTCAGGAGCTATTGGGTTCCTCACAAAATTGCAGTCTAGCTATTTGAATTTCTCCAGAATTTCCCTTATGTACTTCCTCTGACATAGATAGATACCTTGATCATCATGAATTACTTCAACTCCCAGGAAGTATCTTAGTATCCCAGGATCAGTCATCTCAAACTGCTCTTTCATTGATGACTTGAACTCTTCAATCATGCTTGAACTGTTGCTGGTGTACATCAAATCGTCCACATAGAGACTTACTATTAGGATTGATCCTCCAACTCTTTCTATGAACAATGTGTGTTCATATGTACTTCTTTCAAATCCAACTTCCATAAAGTAGGTCTCAATCTTGCTATACCAGGCCCTAGGGGCCTGTTTCAGGCCATAAAGAGCCTTGTTTAGCTTGTAGACTTTCCTTTCCTCCCCAGCAACCACAAACCCTTGTGGTTGCTCCACATACATATCTTCATGTAGATCGCCATGCAAGAATGCACTCTTGACATCTAGCTGATAGACAGTGAGTCCATGATGAGCAGCTAGTGCCAAAAGTGTCCTGATGGTATCCCATCGAGCCACTGGAGCAAACACTTCAGTATAGTCGATACCAACCTGCTGAGAATATCCCTTTGCCACTAGTCTAGCCCTGTGTTTATCAAGAGAACCATCTTCTTTTTCCTTGGTTCAATACACCCAC